AAATTAACAAAAATTCAGATACTTGCCTACAGATGCCAAAAGGTTGAAACAGATTCAAGAAGCTATCAAAGGAGAAGGAGAAGAGACAGTGAGAAAAGAGCCCCTAATAATTTTCTCAGCTTGAGCTACTGTCTTTATCCATGATACTGAACACAACGAGCAGGCAAAATTTTGCTACATGTTCAGGGTAGTTTCTAGATGTTAAAAGATACATTTTTAAATTGTGATCAGTCTCCACAATTTGCAGTCCTATGCTACAGCAGCTATGGTTCTGAATCCACTAAACTTAATGCGAATAAAGCACTCCATTTGCAGTCCTACAACCTCAAAATAGCAGCAAAAATGAGAAATAGCAAAGCCAGAGTCTTTTTCTCCTATATATACTCCTCAACTCCAAAAGAACGAGACCCAGATACAGTCCTCTCACCCAATTTTGTTTCTTCTACCAATAACAAATAAATTTTCAAAGAAAAGAAAACCCTCCAATTTAGGTTGAGTTTCCTTCACAAATATGGTAGAATTGAGATTAAAATCAACATAAATTAATTAAACTAGAATCCAAAAAAGAATCCCATGAAAGTAGCTGCAAAAAAAAAAAAAACCTTGTAGAGTTGTTCGGTGATGGCGGAACCGATGACACCAGTGTAAAAAGCCGCAATATAAATGGTGACAAGGGGAGTGAAGGATTTGGGTCTCCTGTACGGCTCAATCATATCCCAGAGAAGGGTTCGCTCCCACTTGGTGTAAAGATAGTCGGCGTATTTTCTCCAGAGATAGCTCGCCATTTCTCAGCCCCTTCGCTTTGTCACCCTCCTCTGAGAATAGTGCCTGGGGAGCGATGGGAGAATGCTGCCGGCAAAGAACGAAAAAGTAGTGTATTTGACAATCCTAAGTTGCTTTCAGGTGACTGATTCGTGAGACTATGGCCAGCAATTTGGAACTCACGGCTAGACTGACGGTGGCTGATAATCTGATAGGAGAGCAAGTAACCGGACACGGGGAAAGACAGGTTTTTTTTTTTTTTTAAGGGCGCGTTTGGTTTGATTTAGTTATTAAAAAAAAAAAAAATTCCCCTTCCCTGTAATTGACTGTAACCATCATCCTCTCCTTCCCTGTAATATCAGTTGAAAATTTGTCCAAATTAATTTTCTTTAATTATTATTATTATTATTATTATTTTTCACTTTAACTTCATCTGAGAGCAAAAAGTATTAGATTCAAGTATTATAACATACAATTAAAAAAGGTTAAGCAATGAAAGAAAATTATTTTTAATTGTGCAACTAAAAAATAAAACTTCTCTATTCAAACATTTTATTCCTACTTAACATATTAAAGGACTAATGAAAATTTTTTTATTACAATTTTGGCCAATAAGGATGTTAAGGAGTATTGAATTTGTTTCAAGTGCACCATAAAAGAGAAAAAAGGGAAGAGAGAATTATCAACATGAAATTTCATTTCCAATAGGGTTTGAAGTTAGGCTTACATATCACAACCAGAATGAGAATCACAAGGAGTGCATTAGGCAAAGAATTTATGGTTTTTTTTTAAAGGAAAAAAAAATGCTAATATACAATATATATATATATATATATATATATATATATATTTGAAATAAAAGGAGTTTGTATCTGAATTAGCCTTCTCATGTTCACCAACCCCCTAGTGGCAGTTTTTGGGTTTTGGAGGGGAACCAAACAGGCACTCGGGAGCCATAAGATATTTAGAAATGGAAAAGCTAATTGCCCTTTTCTTTCATCAATTTCCTAATCCGTTCCTTTAGCACATGCACCATGTGATAGACTCTAGAAATACTAGTCCAAGTCTCTTTCAATATAATTATCTACAAAACTTACCCTTCAAACATGATTAGAATGTGCTTCACGCAAATGGGACAAGAATCTATCCTCCAAGTTAACCTTTTTTTCTTTTTTTCTTTTTTCATATGTAATGATTATGTATAAAGTTTGTTATTTTATAATTTAAATAGTAAAATAAAAATTTTTTTTATCTAAAAATATGATTAAATTACACTCTATATAAATAAAACAAGTATCTATTCTTGATATTATTTCTTTTTTTTTTTTGTTTGTAATA